CTTGATACGTGTTAATTGTTACTTTTTTCCCAGATGACCTGGATTAGGTAGAGTCTATGTTTCTAGAATAATCTCGGGAATAGTGGCTTTGGGCCCCTATGGACCCCTCACAGACCCTGCATTGGAGACAGGAGGTGCAGAGAAGACCTCCATCCGGTCTCACTGAAGTGGAACGTGCTATAAAACCCAGAGACTGGCACGCCAAACCAGTCCAGCCACACTCCTGGCATGGGGACCAAAGAGTGTCTTTGAAAATGTGTTTTCCTGGATAAAACCTCTAATTGGACAATTGTAGGTCTTCTGGCTTTATGCAGACTTTATGACTTTGAAAGCTCTTAACTGGGACAAGGGGAAACTTATGAATAGGATGTATTTATTTCCGTGGTGCTCTGACTCACGCTGTGGCCCCAGTGTGGCAGCTGGGCTTCCTTCGCTCACTTTTCTCTTTGCCAGGTCGTTGTTACTGGGACTGCACCCTCAGAGAGCCACAACCAGTTGGTATTGAAGCTCAGACTAAGGGATTCTGGCTGCTTGAAATATTATCCTGTACCCAGATTGATTTCCTGGGAAAGGAATATGGTGCTTGGAAATTTTTCAGGGAAGCGTTCAATTTTCTCTCAAATTTTGAACATTTGCTTTATCGGTGGTTTTTAGTCCCTTCATAGAAAACGTTTGAAGTCAGAAGGCATCTGACTTCCAGGCAGGGCTGATACCCAAGGGGTGAACATTTCCTTTGGGTGCTCAAGTCCAAGAATTCCTTTGAAGGTGGACCATGGCATTACTAAGTAGTTTTGGACCATCTCATAAAGTTTGTTAATTAGGGTAATGTAAGCATCTATAACAAAAAGGTCCCAAAATATAGACAGCTCAGACACAATGGAAATCTGGTTCTCATCACAGACTACTCCAGCACTTGCCATTCCTGGTCAGTGGGTGGCTCTCCTGCACTCAGTGATCCAGTCCAGCTCTTTTTTTTTTTTTAAGAATTATTTATTTGGGGCCAGCAGGAGGTATAGTGGTTAAGGTGCTGGAGTCCCATGTGGTTGACCACGGTTTGAGTCCCAGACCTGGTGGCTTGAAACTCATACTGGGTATGTGTATATGCATACCCACAATTCCAGGAGGGGAATGCAGAAGGGATGGCAGAGTGGCCATCTCCCCTGGGGGATGATTTCTCACTTTCTCTTCTCTGTCTCTCTGGTGATCTCATGTGCCCTATAGTAAAAATATACTTAAAAAAATTAATTCTATTTATCATTATTTTTATTTTTTAATTTGACCAGAGAGAGACAGAGAAAAAAGGAAAAGTGAGAAAGCAAGCTGCAAGGCCCAGGACTCAAACCATGGGAATCCAGTGCCTTAACCACCATGCCACCTGGTGACCCTGGCTTATTCTGCCTTATAACTTCACCATGCTAAGGAAGGGAGAGCATGAATTTTGACAGTTAGCTACAGAAAGGGAAATAGGCCAAAACTGAGTCCATAAAAGATGAAATGTAACATGCAGATAGAGGGTCATTGGTCTAGCATCTGGGCAACTGTGAGGGCAATCATGATTTCATTTATAAATCCTTAGCCCATAGAGTAGTGCCAAGCAGGTAGCAAGTCCTCAACACTGTCCTAAGGACTGTGGCAGGAATGAGTGCATGAGTACCCTACCACTTCTACTTCCTGGTGCCCGACTCCGGCCACCTGATAGGAAGGCCAGATGCCTAGTCAACTGTTTCAGGCTATTTCAAAAGTATACTTGTTGAGCCCAGAGTCCATGGGTTGATCAAGTATAAAATCCAGGCACTTTAGTTACTTGTCCTATTATTTTATTGAAGTATTAAAATTACACAGCTAGGACTATCCAGAACAATCTGGTACATGGATGTTGTACCCAAGCATCTGCAGGGTTTCCGGCTAGAAGATCCCTTAGCGGTCAGCAAGGCCCACAACTGCAGAAATCAACCTATGGATGTGGCTGCCTAGAATGAGCAGAAAAAAATGCTGGGGTTGATCAACAACACTTGCATAGGCTAGAGGAAGGAAAATGATGGGCAAAGTTCTGTGTAACTTTCTAGATCTCATTAAGTCTCAGAACCTCATACACCATAGAGTATGCCATGGGGCGAGGTGCAGGGAGAAGAGACAGGCAACTGTGGGAGCTTTTTTGAAAATTTTTTGTCATTGCTTATTTATTTTTATTTATTTCGTGAGAGAGAGAGGCAACCTCAATAGGGCTTTCCTGCCTCCATCCACCTCTAGTCTCAGTTGGCATGCCAGGGAGGTCCCAGGACATGAACCCAGGACCTTTCCAATATACATCCAGTTGCAGTACCACTGTGCCACTACTTGGCCCCCAGTTGGATTTTGGAGTCATTTAAATTGGAGTTGGGGGTTATTTAAATTGAAGATTTTTTTCTTTTCTTTTTTTTACATTTTTGACATAGGATGCATGTACTCACCAGAGAGAGACAGTGAGAGAGAAAGAGAGAAATCACCCCTGGGAGGTTGGCCACCTTCTACTCCATTCTCCTGGGATTTGGAGCACACACACATGTGTGCCCAGTGTGATTTTCAAGCTGCCAGGTGTGGGTCTGGATCCGTGTTTGGTCACACGTGGAAGCCTAACATTTTAACCACTATGCCACCTGTTGGCCCATCAAGTTGGATATTTTAAGGAGTGAGTTGGAGCCAGAATTTAAAAGGCCAGAGAATAAAAGAGGGGCTTTTCTTTAGAGAGCTAAGGACTGGAGATTGGTCAGATGGTGCAGGTACTTCTGATAGAAGGGTGTGAGGCAGAATGTGGACGTGATGTGGTTGGAGCTGGAGACTCTGCCGTGGTCCCTGCTGGGCTTGGTCACCCCCCTTTGTGCAGGGCGAGATGGGGTAGGGGAGCAGTCTGCTCCTGTGCTCATGTCTGTCTAAGGCATGGACCACGAGGGAGTTGCATGACCTGAGCGGGCATGAGGTAGAAGGCTAGAGCTCTCCTGGCCTCTGGGATGCTTTCCATGGAGACCTGGGCACAAAGGGTGCCAGCCAGCCCCTGAGCATTATGACTGGCACCACTCTTTGCCAGCCTTTGTGCTGGCTTCTGGGGGCCATGGCCTCCAACCCAGGTAAGCACACATTGTGGAAGGAGATGGGGAAGTCCAGTATTTCCCAGATCCCAAAGTGTCCCCAAATGACATTGATTACAAAATACTTTGTCAATTCAATAGCAGCATTTCGGAAAGCAAGAAATCCTTCCAAATTAACCAGAAGCATGTGCTGTAAGAACTACCCTGATTTCAGTCAAGGGAATATGGCATCACCCCCATGTCTTTTAGTCAAGGATATGGAGTCCATCCGTGGTTACCATGCAGGCTGTCCGTGCCGGGACAGCAAGAGTGACTGATTCCGCCTTAGAGAGAAGGACAGAGCCTGGGGAGGGGACATCTGAGGAGGAGGATGCCATGCCTACAAAGCAGAAAAAGCATTCCCGGCAGAGGGAACAGCATGGGCAAAGGGTTAGGGCATATCCCCATCTGCAGGAGTGTACATCGTGAGACCGGGCAGATGCAGTGCAGATTATGGAGGACTCGGCTTCATCTTGAACAGGGGTGGGCAGTGAGACTCCAGGCCACGAGAGAGCCCAGCCCTGCCCAGAACAGGGGTTCCCCAAACAGAATGGCCTAGCAGCTCCATCTCCTCTGGCTGCTCCCAGCATGGGAGCACAGATGCTCGGTAACCAAGGAGTGTTCTATTTAAAGGCATTGTGAACAGAGGATGCAGCGCGGGAGAACAAGGCGGGGAGTCGGGGAAGAAGCACTGAGAGGGAACCAGGAGGCTGAAGTCCAGCCTGTGCTCCACTCCTGAGCCATTGTGGGGCCTGGGGCAAGTATCCAGCTGGACCTCAGCTTCCTCAGTCCCCTGTACTGGTAACAGGCAGGCTCAGAGCCGGCTGCATGGGTTCAAAGCTGGGCTCCGTCACTTAAAGTCTCTGTGCACTGGTCAAATTTGTGCCTAAGTTTCCTCCTCCGTAAAATGTGCTTGTTTTAATAGCTGTGTTTTAGAGTTGCTGTCAGCATTCAAAGAGATGATGCATATAAAGCACTTTTAATAGTATCTGGCCCATACTAAATACAGCAAATCAGCCATTTAAAAAGTTGTTATTACTATTATTATGTGATGGTGTCCGACTAGGTGAGTGAGTCTTAAACCCTAAGCCATGGAACCTTTCGCCCATGGCATGTGGGACTTCAGTGTGTAAAATAGGTCACATTGACCTCTTTTGGTTGAAGCAGATGGAAATCTCTGAACTTAGGCCCTTAGCATCCCCCTTCTCACGACTGTCTCACAGCCCACCCCAGGCGTGTCTACGGTTGTCCCCGAGTGTTTCTGAGGTCCCTCTCAGTTGCTCCTTTAAACCCTTTCTCCCTGCGATGCTTACATCTGGGTCAGCTTTCTTTTCCAGCTCAAAATCCACTTTCCTAAAGCATCTACCAAGCTGGGTCTTAGGGTTCGGTCTGCTAAAGTCAACCTGAGGACATGGGGGTGAGGGGTGAGGAGGCTATTCAAGCAAAAATCCTGACTGCAAAGTCCTGCAACCAACCAAATATCACCTACACATATATGGAGAGGTTTTTGCTATAGGGCGCGTGCACTCGCCAGAAAGTCAGAGAGAAACAGACAGAAAGCGAGAAGTCACCCCCCAAGGGGGATGACCACGTCGCAATCCTTTCTCCTCCATTCTCCTCTCGGGATCTTGGGCACGCATGCACACACACCTGGCATGAGTTTAAGCCACCGGGTCCGCGGTCCACTGCATGGGAGCCCAGCAACATAGTCATTATGCCAACTGCTGATCTCAAGTCAAAATAGTTTTATTTAAGTGATTTTGCATGTTACTATTCATTCCACTGCACTAAAAAATGTATATTGCGATTTTGCCTAATGAACACAAATCTGTTATTTCTTAACACATTTCTAGTATTAAAGTTGTGGTGCATGATTTCCACTCATGACCTTAGCAAAAATGTTACAGGCCTCACTGTCACCACTGCGATAGAATTGCTGTGGTGGAAGCACAGTGAAGCCCCATCAGCAATTTCTGGACACCACCATCAGCAGAACCCATTCTCACTGAGAGGTAGGCCCCGCCTCCAGTTACAGGCTGTGACGACCATTGGTCACAGTGCAGGGTACTGTCATCCTTGTCTCTAGGCAGTCAGGCACTGCTGTCGCCCTGTCTGGTGCACCGTGGTGGTCTCTTCTTCTCCATGAAGGGACTGAGTCTTGTTTTCTCACTCGCCATTCCTAGCACGGTGTAGCAGGTGCCCAATAAATCAATACTGAATTCATCAAATGGAATTGAATATGGATACTCTATGGGGTCAACGGCAAGCTGGGTTCAGTATGACCCAGTAGATGGGATCCTGTTGACAAAGAGGTTCTTGTCTAGGAGAGAGATCAATCGGTAAGTACAGTGTGAGAGAGGCCAGGACTTACTGTTGGAGAGAAAATTCCAAAGTCCAGGGTAATTGCTGTGGGACCCGAGGACCTGCCAAGCTAGGAGTTTGCCTTCAGAATCTGCTAGAGCTGCATCTTGGGAGAACCCTGGAATTCTTTGTTTTAGGTCCTAAGATGGGAGGTCTCCTTGCTTCCAGGCGAGACCCTGAACCGACTGCAGAACACAACCTAGCTTTCAGTTGGCCCCTTGGTGTGTGCTCTGTGGAAATCGCTTATGAGCTTTAGGCTTGGACACTCAGCTTCTGAGACAGGACTGGAGGCCACCAGAAGCAAAAGCTGGGAGAACAAGCCCAGCCCCAGCTGGCACTTAGAGCCTGTCCTCGGCGACTGCCCAGCTTTTCCTTAATCTGCGTCTGCCTCTGGTCACACAACAGCTGCTTTGTCCACCTTGGGCTGTCCCTGCTCTTACCCCTTCATGGCCAAGGCTCTCTCTGCCCAGAATGCCCTTTTCTGCACCACTACCCCCTCTGCACCAATGAGCTCTTCATTCTTCAAAACCATACCAAAGGCCATCTCCTCTAGGAAGCCTTCCTAGATCTCTTAGAATATTTTACTCCTCTTTCCTGTCTTCCAAAAGAACTTACACAGCACATGTGACATTCCGCTTGGGTTTCAATGGTACATTTTATTGCCCCTCTATGTCGTAAAGTTTGATGAAAGCGAAGGTATTTATCTTATTGGTCTCCATGAGGAAGACCATGGACTTGGGCTTCAGTTTCTAGATCTTGCAGGGTGTGCGGACTGAGACAAGTGATCTGATATGTCTGAGTCTCAGGATTCTGTAAAATGGGGATTAAAAAACCCTTTCTAAGGGCCAGGAGGTGGCATAGTGGTTAAGGTGCTGGATCCCACATGCAGTTCGAATCCCAGACCCTGCAACTTGAAAATCATGCTGGGTGTGTGTGACTGTGTGCCCAAAATCCCAAGAGGAGAATGGAGAAGGGATTGCAGTATGGCCATCCGCAGTGGGGCTGATGACTCACTTTCCCTCTCTGTCTTTCTCTGTCTCTCTCTGGTGAGTGTATATGTCCTATGGCAAAAAATCTAAACACAAACAACAAAAGACCCTTCGTCCAAGTTTGTTGTGAGCATTCAGTAAGATGACTGACATGCGTTAACAATGAGGAGGAAATCATAATGTGAGTTAACTGCGGCTAAGGTCAGCCGGGCACTGCTCCAGGCTTCTTATAAGTAGCTCACGGAAAAAAGATTCGTTGGTTTAAGACACTGTGTCCCCATCCTCCTGCCTCAACCTTCCAGCTGAGGCTACGGGCCCAGAGCACCATGGCCTGTCTTTAGGTTAGACTGGATTTCAAACCCAGGCCTCTCATGTGGGCCTGGCCTGAGGACACAGCATCTCAGCAGTGCACACCACCACAGCTGGGCCCACTTCGTTCTTTTTACTTATTTTTGAATTGCCAGAGGGCACATGCACTTGTCAGAAAGAGGGAGAGAAAGAGAGTGCAAGCACCCCCCCCCGTGGGGTATGGTCAAGCTACAGTCCCTCTTCCTCCGTTTCTCCGTCCCGCGGGGATTCTGGGCATGCACGCACATGTGCCCAGCCTGTCTTTCAAGTTTCTGGTGCCGGCCATGTGGGATCTGGCCCTCCCAACCTCTAGGCCACCAGACAGACAGCTTTTAAATTTTGGATTAATTATAGATTTACCGGAAGTTGCAAAGACAGCACAGATGGACCCATGTACCTTTCACCCAGTTTTCTCCAATGGTTACAGCTTACCTAATTAGAGTGCAGCATCAAAACCAGTAAACTGACATTAAGTATAACGTGTGAGCGTAGTTCTGTCATTTTATCACTCGTGTAAAAGATTTGTGCACTCAACACCACCATCGGGGTACAGAACTACTCCATCCCTGGGAAAACGGCCTGGGGTTCTCCCTTCATGGCCACACCCACCCTTTCCCTTCCTGCCATCGCTGCCCCTGGCAACCATTAGTATGCTCTCTGCCTGCAGAACGTTTGTCACTGATGCTGTCTAAATGGAATGGCATAGGATGTGACCTTTCAAGATGGGCTTTTCCCCCTCAGCACACTGCCTGGAGACACATCCCAACTGTGCATCAGTAGGTCGTTCTTTGATCACTGCTACGTTCTGTTCCGCGGCTATACTGCCAGTACACCGTGGTTCACCCACGGAAAGATGTCGTTTCCAGTTTTTGGCTATTTTTTATGAAACTGCTTTAAACATTGCGTACAATTGTTTTGTCTTTGTTTTGGGGTTTTAATGTGAATTTATGCTTCCAGTTCACTGGGGTAAACACCCAGGGATGCTATTGTTGAGTTAAATGGCAAATGTACCCTGTATTTTAAGGAAGTATCAAACTTTCCAGAATGGCTACACCGTTTGACATTCCCACCAGCAACATGTGAGTGAGTGGGCTTCTCCACATCTCTGCCAGCATCGGCGTGGTCGCCATTTTTTATTTGAGGCGTTCTCGTAGGTGCGCAGTGACATCTCATTGTGCCCTGACTTTGCCTTTCCCGAGCTAGTGATGTCGGCATATTTTCACTGCTTATTTGCCACCTCTATGTTTTCTGCAATAAAACATCACTGCACGTCATATTTTAATTGGAGTCTTTACTTTTCAATGTGGAATTTCAAGGGTTCTTTATGTGTTGACAACTATGGGGCCTACGCAGTGACCTCACTGAATTCTCAAGGTTGCCCTGCTGTACTCGGCAAGGAAGTGAGGCACGGGCGGTTGCCACTCCACACGGCACACGGGGCCCTACCTCTCTTCTGCGCTGCAGGGCCAGTGAGCAGCTGGCCCGCTTCTGCTGCAGGGACCTTGCTGTCGTTGTTGTTACTGTTCATGACAGGGTATGTCCGCACATGAGACAGAGGGAGGGGAAGCACCTCCCCAAGGCCTGGTTTGTGGCGATCCCCTTGTTCTGCGGCTGCCAGGCTCCTGGGTACACACAGGCACGCACACACGTACATGTGCCCTATCAGTTTCAGGGTGACAGGCCAGGAATTCTAACTGCGGTCGGCATAAGGCATCCAGCTTTGCCATACGGTATGCCGCTGACTGCACCCCAGAGGCTGGGCCTGGTTTTTTTTTTTTTAAGAAAAGGGATGTCTCCCGTGCCTTCCCCTTCCAAGATGCTGGGTGGCAGCATGCCGTCGTGGAAGGAGGACCAGAAGTGGAACGGTGGGTGCCGATTACAGCATGGTGGCGAGTAGTGTGGGAATTGGCGACTTCTCCCCTTGGGACTTTCATCTCCGAATCTGTAAAGTGGGAGGAGGACAGGAGCTAACCGGCAGGGGCTATGGCCAGTAAGTGGAGTGCAGAGACTAGGGACAAGGGTTCCAGTAACACATGCGAGTTCAGAACAGAGCTCGGGAACCAGCAGTTAGCGTAATGGCTATGTCGCTGGACTCCCACATAGTCGACTGCAGTTTGCGTCCTGGGCCCGGTGGCTTAAAACTCACGCCGGGTGCGTGTGCGTGCGTGCCCAAGATCCAGAGAGGAGAATGGAGGAGAAGGGATTGCGGCGTGACCATTCCCCTTGGGGGGTGATTTCTCGCTTTCTGTCTCTATGTCTCTCTCTGTCTGGCGAGTGCTGCACGCGTCCTATAGCAAAAACCTCTCCAAAAAAAAAAAAAGAACAGAGCTCTTCCTGGTCTAGCCATGTAATCTTAAGCAAGGTGCGAAACTTATCAGAAAAATGGGGACAATTGCAATCCCTACCCCACAGACTTGGAGTGAGGGTTAGACGAGATGGCAGACATAAAGCACTCAGGTCCTGCCTCAGGATGAACGTGATTAATCAAAACGGACATTTGTTGAGACCTATTCAGTGAAGAAGCTACTTGTTTTAAGTTAAGCCAAAATCAATTAGACAACAAGACCAGGATTTAGTTGCATGACGTGTATGTGGAAGGAGACCTCAGAAGGCAGAACAGGGAAGTAGGGACGTGAAATGGGGAAGGAGCTGCTTCTGTGGGCAACTAGGGCTCAGTTGTGCTAGGCACCCTCTGAGGGTCTGTGGGGAGCACAGCTCACAGCTCGGCGTCCACACTGAGGGGGACAGGGCTGCACTGTTTATCCACCATCTCTCTTTCCTGGTGGGCAAGTGTCACTCCTGGTGCATTCGTTCTACTACACTTTTTTTAAAAAGAGAGACTTTTGCATAGGACATGTGTGCTCACTAGAGAGACAGAGACAGAGAGATGGAAAGCTAGAAATCACCCCCCACCCCCAGGATGGATGGCCACGCTGCAGTCCCTTCTCCTCTATTCTCCTCTTGGGATCTTGGGCACACATGCACATGGACCTGCCATAAATTTTTTTAAAAAGAATTATTTAACTTTATTTATTGATTCATTTATTTTAAATTTTGATCAGAGAGAGAGAGAAAGTATGAAAGCAAGCCACCAGGTCTGGGACTTGAACCATGGTCAGCCATGTGGGAGTGTCTAGTGCCTTAACCACCATGCCACCCACTGGTCCCCTGCCTGGGATGAGGTTGTTTATTTGGTATTGTTTTTGTTTTTGTTTTTTTTTTTTTGAGAGGTTTTTGCTATAGGGCACATGCACTCACCAGACAGACAGAGAGAGACAGAGAGACAGAAAGCAGGAAATCACCCCCCAGGGGGGATGGCCA